TGGAATAGAAAATAATATGTAGAATACACATTTTTGTATATTATTGTATGCCAAGGGAAAAAATTAGAATGACATGGGCTGATATATTAATGGGGTCTATCTCTTACCTGGTGAAATTATGAATGATTTAAAAAATACTTTTCCTTTACTCTTTTGTATTTATTTTTCCCCCAAGGTTTCTACAATGAACATATGTTACTTGTGTAAGAAGAAAACAAACATATTAATTATTTCTTCAAAAAACGACCCCCAGGAAAGGGTGTATTATATACATCCCCAAACCAAGATTCAAACAGATCTATTTCTAAAAACCACATGGAATAGCTTATAAGAAAGGGTGGAGGCAGTGTCTTCCTGCTAATTAAAGTGAGAAATTTCTCATTAGTCAATTAAAAAAAAATCAGATAAAACAACTGCAACCAGAAACACATATGGGATATACTGAAATAGCCTCCCAAATTATTAATGTTGAGTTCCCGAAGAATCTTTGTATTGCCTATAAAAGAGACCTTGTGGTTTTAAAAAGCTTTTGAACTTGCTGTCTGAGAAATTTATTATGTAGGCCTGTGTTTAAACACACAGGATATTATTATATAACTAAGCAGCTGGTAAGATTAACCATGATTAAAAATAAAAGGGAAAACACACAGTACACCAAAGCAGGACTGTTTAATGAGAAAAGGGTGACTCAAAGGAAAACTGTATTTGTGCGGTGGAATAAAGTCAACCCACAGGCTTATCAAATAGCAATAAAGACCTTCTATCTCATATCTGATTCAAAAGGCACTGCTTATCCAAAGACAGCATTACACTAGAAATAATGTAAATCATATTCATGAGCGTATACACCAAATATGTGTTATAGACCATTTGGAGACAAGTACTTATTTTCAAATCTCACATCAGTCTTCTTTTTTTCTCATTTCATTTTCCTAGTAATCCATTTTTATTGTATTTTACCAAAGAATTGGTCAGTGACAGACTGGAATAAACAAAACAAAACAAGCAAACAGGCAAAAAAAAAAAAACAACTATTTCTTCACCACAGATTGTTTGAAAAGCACCGCTCTAGGCCAGTGGTTCTCAAAGTGTAGTTCATGGACCAGCAGTATCTGCATTTCTTTGGAACTTGTTAGAAATGCAAATTCTCAGGCTCTACCCCAGATCTACTGAATCATAGTCTCTGGGGGTGAGGCCCAGCAACCTGTGTTTTAACAAGTCCCATGTGATTCTGATGCATGCTCAAGCTGGAGAATCGCCACTTTAGGATATGCTACTTTACTAATAAACACTTATACAACTCGTAATATGTGTCAGACACTATTCTAGGCATTTTATATACATTAAATCATTTACTCTCCCATGACACTATTATTATAGCCATTTTACAGATGAGGAAATGGAGCCTCAGAGAGGTTAAATGACCTCAAGAACACACAGCTAATTTGTGGAAGGTAGAGACTGGCTTCAAAGTCCATGCCCTTCACAACTATACTACAAAGCCTAAGACTGATCAGATAAATAATAACACATAAGGTGTGTACTAGCTAGTTTGCTAAATTTCTCAGGAAGCAGCTGCTTTAACACAGTTTAATCTTGTATCTCTAGAAAGTTCTTAAGTAACAATTCTAATTTTATTAGCATGTCAGCCACAGACATATGTTTAGTCATATGCACCTGTCAGAGCTTTTTACCTCATATTATAAGGTAGCAGACTTTTTTTTTTTTATATTGTACTTCAGGTGAAGGCTTACAGAACAAATAGTTTCTCATGAAACAGTAGTACACATATTGTTTTATGACATTGGTTAACAACCCCACAACATGTCAACCCTCTAACTTCTCAACCTTTTTTTTTTGGTGAAAATACACACAGCCAAATCACACCATTCTTAATATTCAAACACTTTAATGTGGTATGCTATGACCTATTGATCTTTCCAGCCCTTCTCTTCCTTCCTCACATCCTACTTTCTAATTGCACCAAACCACCTAATTTCTTGAATCCACTATGCTTTGCCCAGCCACCAACTCTTTGATGCATACTTCCAATTGAACTTTTAAATATCAGCCCAACACCAATTAACAGTTCCTGAGAGCCCACTATCCCACATTATACTACGCACGGTCATTCAGACCAAAAATATTTATGGAGCAGGATCAGGATCTACATGGGGAGCAGTGGTGGTTCAGTGGTAGAATTCTTGCCTTCCATGCAGGAGACCCAAGTTCAATTCCTTGCCAATGTACTCGTGTGCAGCCGCTACCCATCTGTCAGTGAAAGCCTGTGTGTTGCTATGATACTGAATAGGTTTAGAGGAGCTTCCAGACTAAAATTGACAAGGAAGAAAGGCCTGATGATTTATTTCCAAAAATCACTCAAGGAAAACCCTATGGATCACAAAAGTCAGATCTCCAATCAATCACGGTGATGGTGCAGGACTGGAAAGTGTCTCACTCTGTTGTGCACGGGGTTGCCTTGAGTCATGCGCTGACTCCACGCCAGCTAACAACAATCAGGATCTACCGTAGGTTCTAGGGATGTGAAAATAAATACAACATTGTCTTGCACTCAAGAAACTTGGCTGAGGGAGAGACATATAAACAATAGTTAAAACACGGCGGGCATTTTAAGAGAAAGCATGGCTGTTTCATGAAGCCAGTCTCAAGTTGAAGATCACTTGTTATTACTCCAATTCTCCTAAACCAATGATGCCTGCAGACCTAATTCAGTACAAGCTGCCAGTGTGTGATTTCTGAATAATAATATTAACACTTATTGTTACTACACATGGGTCACTTTTAAAAGCACTTTACATGTATTAACTTATGTACTCCTCACAACAACCCTTGAAGTTGATATGATTTTGCCCATTTTACAAATGAAACAACTGAAGCACATGGAAGTTCGAATAACTTCCTGAGGTCACACAGCTGTTAGAATGGTGGAACTGGGATTTGAATCTAGGCAGTCAGTCTCCAGATTCCACACTTTGAAAAGAACTGCACCACAGTACTACACTCCATTGCTCTGTATATTTCTCTATTCAGCTAACACTACAGAATGTGTTACATATTTAATAATTTATTGGGCCAAATATTATTCATTTTTTGTTGGTGAAAACCTCTTTTAACCGGTATATACAGACTTGAGGAGAAAATCCATGTTCATCATCCATTTATAGCTTTCATTGTTCCATAAATCTAATCACATTCCCTATCATGATCTTTCCTCATTTGAAGTGTACTGATTTGTGTGTGTGTGTGTGTGTGCTTTAGGGGAAAGTTTACAGCTCAAGTTAATTTCTCATTCAAAAATTTATACATATATTGTTTTGTGACATTAGTTGCAATCCCCACAATGTGACAGCATATTCCCCTTTCCACCCTGGGTTGCCTGTGTCCATTCGACCAATTCTTGTCCCTTCCTGCCTTCTCATCCTGCTTTTGGACAGGAACTGCCCAGTTGGTCTCGTATATCCGATTGAACCAAGAAGTACATTCCTCACGTGTATTATTTTTTGTTTTATAGTCCTGTCTAATCTTTGTCTGAAGAGTGGGCTTGGGAATGGTTTCAGTTCTGGGTTAGCAGAGCGTCCGGGGGCCATAGTTTCGGGGGTTCCTCCAGTCTCAGTCAGACCATTAAGTCTGGTCTTTTTACGTGAATTTGAGTTCTGTTCTCCATTTTTCTCCTGTTCTGTCCAGGACTCTCGGGTGGTTATTGGTGGTAGCTGGGCACCATCTAGTTCTTCTGGTCTCAGGTTGATGAAGCCTCTGGTTCATTTGGTCCTTTAGTCCTTTGGGCTAGTATTTCCCTTGTGTCTTTGGTTTTATTCATTCTCCTTTGTTCCAAGTAGGATGGGACCAATTGATCTATCTTAGATGGCAGCTCGCAAACTTTTAAGACCCCAGGTGACACTCACCAAAGTGGGATGTAGAACGTTTTCTTTATAAACTGTATTATGCCCATTGACCTAGATGTACCCAAAACTATGGTCCCCAGTCCCCAGCCCCTCTGTCCCTCGAAGTGTTTAGATGTGTCCAGGAAACTTCTTTGCTTTTGCTTTGATCCAGTTGTGCCGACTTCCCCTGTATTGTGTGCTGTCCTTCCTGAAGGGTACTAGTTTTTAACAGGAGCCCTAGTGGTGCAGTGGTTAAGAGCTTGGCTGCTAACCAGAAGGTCGGCAGTTTGAATCACCAGCCGTTTCCTGGAAACTCTACGGGGCAGCTCTACTCTGTCCTATAGGGTTGCTATGAGTTGGAATTCACTCCACAGCAATAGTTCGTTAACAAATAACTTCACAGTTACTCAAGAAATATATATTCATTTTAGACAAAAGCAGGTAGTCTCCAAATTATTTTCATGCATTCTCACAGTCACTCCAACTCCTCTCCCCTCCTTCCGACCCACGTCCCATACCCTTCCCAATTCTGAGTGTTATTGGCTCAGCCTTCCTTACAGGTACAAACAGCAGGATAATGTTTCATTTTGCTTTCAGTAACCATCTGCAAAATGTTTACAACTTTGTGGATCGTTTTGGACAAGGTGACTAGGCCAGTGCCTTCAGAGAAGTCCTATTTATATGAGCTAAAACAAATGCAAGGGAACCTAAGGATTTGCTGAAATGGTCCAAAAATAAACTCCAATTCTTTTATCTTAATTCAAAACATTTCACTAGACCAGGGATGTGGCCACTTTTTATTCACAAATTTCTTAAGAACTCTGGATGTTACATTCTGTTCTTTTCACTTAAGTAAATTAAAGCCAAAAATTAAGTCTTGACATAGGCCAACGATTCTGCCTCCCAGCGTTTGTATATACTGCTCTGCCGCCAGGATCTCTTCCCAACAACACCCACACCTCCTGCCCAAGCCTTGGCTCCTACCCAGCCTTCCTGACATTGTCCACAGTCCACCTCCTCTGGAAAACCTTCTTTGACCACCAAGGCTCTTAAGTGCCCCTCCTATATATACCCAATGACTAGCACTTAATATCTATTTCAATTGCCCATTTACTTCTCTCTCTCACCTAATCTGTAATTGGAATTTGTGTAGTAATTACTTTTTTGCCTAATTTGTGGCTGAAATTTATGCAGTAATACTTATTCCTGAAGCAAGTTGTGCCCTTGAGCTTTTAAACTTGGCAGTTTATTTTACTGTCTCAAGAATGGTAAAAACACAGGGTTTGGCGTTGGACTAATGTAGATTTGGCATCAAGCTCTGGTACTAATGGCTGTGTGATCTTGAACTTAACATCTCTGAGGCAGTTTTATCATTGGGAAAATAAAGACTGTTTCACTGTGAAGATCAGTGTATGAAAGTGCACCACCCATTCAAGTTATCGCTCAATAAATGTTAGCTGCTATTAAATTTCTCAAGAATAATTTTATTAAATACCAAAAGAAGAGAAAAAACATTGTTAATTGATTGGGAACTACCTCAAACATATTTTCTAATGATATTTGTATATATCCTATATGGTATACATAACCTTACTTACATTGAGATTAATTCGTAATTTATACCTGTTATCTATTGCTCTCACCTAATTCAGTAAAAAAAACACAACTTAAATGGTTTGAAAATGTATCTGACTCCTTGAAAATAACAAAAGAACAGACTTAGAAACTGAAAAAGAATGTTGGCAACCTTTAAGGGAGTATCTTTTAAGCCAGGAAATTAATACTGAAGTAAATGTCTCTGAAAAGACCCCATCTTAATCTCTAGGAGGTTAGTAACTTTAGTTCACCCAAATCTCTAAGTATCAAATTTAAAATGGCCTCAAAAGTATTCCAAAATTATTTACTTAATAGTGAACTGGCTTCTGAGCCAGTAAAGAATCCAGTAATCCAGTTCTGTGTTTAAACACTTCTTTTTAAGACCCTTACACATGAATCAAGATGCTTAGGAGCTGATTGCTGCCAAATTTAATCTGGAAGACCTGCAGACAATGCTCATTGACAAATACCTCTCTCTAATGAACTCTTCAACCCTGGATCGTTTAGAATCCCAAGAGGAAATGTGTCCCATTTCCTTGTACTTGCATTTCAAGATAAGCTAAATTAATCTCTAAAGCCATAGAATTAAACAAGAAGATATTCTTTCAGCATCAGTATCAAGTAACAGAGTATACATAGACAACCTCATTGCACACTCAGTCAATTATACATTTATTACTCCACTTGCTGCTCTAAATTGGAAGCCCTTCTAGGTGCTGGGGGATGCCACGATGAATAACACAGTATATTCTTGGCCTCAAGCAGTTCTCGGATGGAATTTTACTTACAAAGATTTAATATTTTAAGCCATCGCCAACTCACAATTTAAGTAGGTATTAATTCACAGCTGAGAACAAAGTCTTAGAGAAACGGTCGACAGAGGACAAGTACACGAGAGACGTTAGTGGGGTAGGAGATAAGACCAGGGTAAAAGCAGGAAAGAGGAAACTGTGGTGTAATCCTTGCGAGTCAGAAATGCATTCAGATTCCAGAGTCATCGATTACCCACAATGTAGACAATTCTGTTTTTGCAATGAGCATGTACTTTATAACAAAAAATTTTAATCATCAGAAAAAGTTCTTTATTTCATAGGGTTTTTAGGAAGATCAAATGAGACCACTCAGGAAAGTACATAGCACAGTGCTTGTCACTGAGAAGCTCAACGTATATTAGTTTTTAAAAATGTAGTATCCCCTTAATGTGAACATAACTGTATTATTTTTTTACATTTGCTTCATGATCATAATAATGTTGAATGACAGACAGTGAAGCAGCAGGTTTAACAGAGTAAATGCTTTCAAACCAGCTAAACCTAAAGTCAAATTAAGTCTCCAGCTCTCAGCAGCCAGCTATGCTACCTTAAACAGGTTGTTTAAGGGATAAACATTAGAGATATATAAAGCCCTCAACACAATGATAGATACTCCTCAAATGTTAACTCCCCCTTTCATGACCCCTAACTAAATGCAGTTTTTCAGCTGTACTTGACACTTGAGGTTTGGCTGCTCAGCATGCAAACCCCTGTGCTATCTGAGTGCTCTCTGCCTCACTCCCAAGGGTGCTGAAGGGAGGACAACATTACCTCTCCAGGTCCTCTGGCAGCTGGAGCATGGCAAGCACAGCTAAAATGATGCTCCCCCTGCTGCTCTGACTTCACAGGGATGGTACAGCAGCCAGTGTCTGGGCTGGTGGTGCCAATAGCCTGTGGCAGAATCTTGGCAGTGTCTTGGCACCCTAGTCCCAAAGCCACTTCTCATCAATTCTGTGAGTCTCCCAACACCCATCCAATAAATTCCTTTTCTCTTTAATTACACAGAGCCAGTTTCTGTTGTATGTAAACAAGAACCCTAACTACTACACTTGTAAAACTAATAAATTAATACCAGTGCCACGAAATTATTTTAATATCTTTTTCTCCATGATTGAATATACAAAGATAATGGAAGTAATGTATTCTTCTGCTGTAAAGTTGGGTGAAATATATCAAAATCCACTTGTTGAATTTTCTTTAAATAGTCTTCTAGAGCAACCTGAAAAAAGAAAAAAGGGATCACTAGATCATAAAATGATGAAGTCTTTAAGAGAAACTAAAGAAAGATTACAGGTATTAAAGCTATTCCAGTTTCCCTGAGATGGGCTTCTATATATATAAATTTTTAAAAAGGGAGAAAAAAATAAACACATCTCTGGAAATTTCTACAGGGACAGTAAAAGAGTACCACAGAACTAGTACAAGAAATATCAAGCCTCTTTTGCTCATAACTTATAATGTTCTGGTCAAGATGTAGCAGGATTAGAGAAATTATGGCTTTCCTGGTCTTGTTACTAGATTCTGTGGAATACAAAGGAAGGTTTCAACTAGGGAAAAATGAAGGAAAAAAACCCAGAAATGCATTGTGCCATGAGAGGGATCTCAAGTTGTTTGTTTAAAAAATTATCTTATTTTATGAAGAAGTCTGATGAGTCTCTATGTTCTTAAAAGGTCCCTGTGCGGCGCAAATGGTTAAGCATTCTTTTGCTAACTGAAAAGTTGGTAGTTCAAACCTATCCAGAGGTACCTTATAAAAAGGCATGCTGATCTACTTCCAAAAGGTCACAGCCGTGAAACCCCTATGGAGCACAGTTCTACTATGCAACACACGGGGTCGCCATGAGTTGGAATCGACTGAACAGCAACTGGTACGTTCTTGTTAGAAAACACTATTTCTAACCAGGATGAACAGTCACAGGTCACTATAAATGCCACCCTTTCCTTCCCCCCCACACAAAACATGACAAAGTTTTCATCGGGATAAGGGCAGGAAGCAAAACATTAACAATGGGCAGTGCTCTTTATTTTCTGGATTTCAGTTATTTTTATTATTTTAATAACTTTTCTAATAAACACGGAAGCCATTTAGTTTTGCACTGCACAATTCTAAAAGGCACCGCTCCCACCTCAGTCCACGTGTATACAGCACCCCCTAGAGTTCTGCAGTGCACAACCTGTGTGACCCAACACAAGGGTTATGCTTGTAGAATCATTAGAATATCCAGGTGAGCAAAAACAAAATAAACATTATATTTCCTTCCAGACTTTCTTCCTATACATTTATAAACATGAGTGTACAATAAAGTCGGTATCTATTTTTTTTTTCTATATTTATTTTGCTGTTGTTGATAATACACACAGTAAAACATGCACCAATTCAACAGTTTCTACATGTACAACTTAGTGACGCTGATTACATTCTTGGAGTTGTGCAACCATTCTCACCCTCCTTTTCTGAACTGTTCCTCTCCCATTTACATAAACTCACTGCCTCCCAAGGTTCCTATCTAATCTTTCCATTTGCTGTTGTCAATTTAATCCCATATAAATAGTTCTTAAAAGAGCATAATGCTCAAGGCAGACCTTTTTTACTACTTAAGCTAAACTACTGTTCAGTTTTAAGATGATTTCAGGGGACATTTTTGGTTTACGATTTAAAGATTATCTCAGGGCAATAGTTTTAGGGGTTCACCCATCCTCATGGCTCCAAAAAGTCTAGAGTCTGTGACAATTGAAATTCTGTTCTGCATTTTCTCCCTTTTGATCAGGATTCTTCTACGGAATCTTTGATCAAAATGTTCAGTAATGCTAGCCGGACACCACCCAGTTCTTCCAGTCTCATGGCAAAGGAGGCAGTTGTTTACTAAGGCAAATTAGCCACACATTCCATACTCTCCTCCTACTCCTGACAGTTCTTCTCCCTCTGTTGCTCCAGGCGAATAGAGACAAATTGTTGTGCCTTGGATGGCTGCTTGCAAGCTTTTAAGACCCCAGGCACTATACAACAAACTAGGAGGTAGAACAGAAACACTAAACACATTATTAGGCCTATTAACTGGGATGTCTCATGAAACCATGACCCTAAACCTCTGAACTAAGGAACCCAATTCTGTAAGGTGTTTGGTTGTACATAAGCAGCCTCAGTTAACTACTCTTTTTTTTTTGGTCATTGTTGTAAATATATCACACAACTTTTGCCAATTCAACTTTTTATAGGTGTATAACTTATTGACAGTACTTATAATAATTGGCTGTATAATGCTACCCTTAATTAATGCAATTTTCCCATCACTGTTAACCCCCATCTTCCCCTCCCTCCCACCCTGTAACCACTAATAAACTTTGGTCTCTATATTTTTACCTTTTCTTGTCTTTTTACATAAGTAAGGTCATACAACTGTCCCTTTGTGATTGGCTTATTTCGCTCAGCATAATGTCTTCAACCTCCATCCATACTGCAGAATGTGTCAAGACTTCATTTCTTCTACTGGCTGACTAGTATTCCATTGTATGTATGTACTACCTTTTGTTTATCCATTAATCTGCTGATGTGCATTTAGGTTGTTTCCACCTTTTGGCTATTGTGAACAGTGCTGCAGTGAATATTGGTGTATATGTCTCTACTTGAGTCTCTGCTTTCAAGTCTTTTGGGCACATACCTAGGAGAGGAATTACTGGGTCATATGGTAGTTCTACTTTTAGTTTTCTGAGGAACCGCCACACTGTTTTCCACAATGGCTGTACCATTTTGCACTCCCATCAGCAATGGATAAGGGTTCCAATTCTCCCACATCCTTGCCAACATTTGTTATTTCCTGTTTTCTTTTTTTTTAATCTTAGCCATCCTAGTGTGAGTGAAATGGTATCTCACTGTAGTTTTGATTTGCATCTCTCTCATGGCTAAGGATGCTGAACATCTTTTCAAGTGTTTGGTGGCCATCCGAATCTCCTCTTTGGTGAAATGTCTATTCAAGTCCTCTCCCCGTTTTATGATTGGGTTATTAGTCTTTCTGTTGTTGTCAAAGTTTTATATATATTTTGGTTATTAAATTCTTGTCAGATATATGGTTTCCGAAGATATTTTCCCAGTCAGTAGCTTGTCTTTTCACTTTTTTGGTAAAGTCTTTTAATGAACAGAAGTTTTTAATTTCTATGAGGTCCTATTTATTTATTTTGTCTTTTGCTATTTGTGCTTTTATTATTATATCAGAAATCCATTGTTGAAAGCTAGGTCTGACAGCGTTGCCCTGCTTGTTCTTCTAAGAATTTTATGGTTTTATTTTGCACATTCAGGTCCTAAATCCATTTTGAATGTTTTTTGTATGATGTGAGGCATGGGTCCTGTTTCATTTCTCTGCATGTGAAAATCCAATTTTCCCAGCACCATTTATTGAAGAGACTCTTCTTTCCCCATCAAATGGACTTGGCACTCTTGTCAAAAATCAGTAGATCACAGATGTGTAGGTTTATTTCTGGACTCTGAATTGTACTCCGTTGGTCTCTATGTCTATTGTTATACTGGTATCAGGCTATTTGGACTACTGTAGCTGTATAGTATGTTTTAAAGTCAGAAAGTGTGAGTCCTCCTACTTTGTTCTTCTCTTTCAACATTGTTTTAGCCATTTGAGGCCTCTTGCCATTCCATATAAAGTTGAGGATTGGTTTTTCTATTTCTATAAAGAAGGTTGCTGGAATTTTTATCGAGAATGTGTTGAATCTATAGATCACTTTGGGTAGTACTGACATCTGTCTTAGTCATCTAGTGCTGCTATAACAGAAATACCACAAGTGGATGACTTCAACAAAGAAAAGTTTATTCTCTTACAGTCCAGTAGGCTGCAAGTCCAAATTTAGGGCATCAACTCCAGGAGAAGGCTTTCTCTCTCTGTTGGCTCTGGAGGAAGGTCCTTGTGAGATACATCAGTCTTTCCTTGGTCTGGGAGCATCTCAGCACAGGAACCTCAGGTTCAAAGGACACGCTCTGCTCCTGACACTGCTTTCTTGGTGGTGTGAGGTTCCCATGTGTCTCTGCTCACTTCTCTCTTTTATATCTCAAAAGAGATTGGATTAAGACACTATCCAATATTGTATACCTCATCTGTATAACCTCATCATAGTGATACAGTTTACAACACATAAGGAAATCACATATAACCTCATCATAGTGATGGGATTTACCACGCATAAGGAAATCACATCAGACTACACAATCATACAATACTGGGGAATCACGACCTACACATTTTTGGGGGGACATAATTCAATCCAGGACAACATCTTAACAATATTAAGTCATCCAGTCCATGAACATGGAGCATCTTTCCATTTATTTAAGTCTTTAATCTCTTTCAGCAGTGTTTTATAGTTTTCATTCAATAAGTCCTTCACATCTCTAGTTAGATTTATTTCTAAGTATTTTATTCTCTTAGATCCTATTGTAAATGAACTGTTTCCCTAATTTTCCTTTCAGATTTCTCATTGCCAGTGTATAGAAACCCAAATGATTTTTGTTTGTTGATCATGTACCCTGCAACTTTGCTAAATTCCTCTATCAGCTCTAGAAGTCTTCTCGGGGACTCTTTGGGATTTTATATATATATATATATAGGATCATATCATCTGTGAAGTGAGATAATTTTACTTCTTCTTTTCCAATCTGGATATCTATAATTTTTTTTCTTGTCTTATTGCTCTGGCTAGAACTTCTAACACAATATTGAATAGAAATGGTGAGAGCGGGCACCCTTGTCTTGTTCCCAAAGTATCTACTTTTTTAAAATTCTAAACTCGTATTTATGTACAACAGTAGATATACTCAAGAATGTGCACAGCCGCCTTGTTTTTTATAAGCAAAAAACTTGAAAACCACCCAGGAGTTCTTTGACAAAAGTACAGATAAATAAATTGCGATCTAGTCACGTAATGAAATATTATATTGCAATGAAATGAATGTACTATAGCTGAACACAAAAAATATGGGCAAATCTTAAAAACATAACATTAAGTGTGTGTGTGTCCAGGAAGACATAAACAGAACATAGTCCATGTTTATAAAGGTCAAAAACAAAACTAAGTAACGTATTTTTTTGGAATATATAAAATGGAGAACACTTTTGGTGGGGGTGGAGGGGAGAAACAAGGGAATAATAAACACAAAATTTAGGATGACTACCTGGCAAAGGAAAAAGGTCCCTGTGGGATGCAAATGGTTGTAGTTTGAAGCCACCCAGCTGTACTGTGAAAAAAAGGCCTGGCAAACTGCTTCCATAAAGATCACAGCCAAGAAAATGTAGCAGTTCTACCCTGTAACATATGGGGTCACCATGAGTCAGAATCGACTCACTGGCAATGAGTTTGGTTTGGTTTTGGCTATCGGCAAAGGAAGGCAGAGGCAGGAGGATGGGATGGAAAAACAGATAAGCAGATGCAATTTAATGGCAACATTCTATTTCTTGGGTTGAATGGTGAGTTCATAGGTATCTATTATGTTATGATTTATAATATATGTGTGTATGTGTGTATATATACATATGTATACATATATATATATGGAGCCCTGGTGGCACAACAGTTAAGTATTTAGCTGCTAACAAAAAGGTTGGTTGTTTGAACCCACCCAGCGGCTCCGTGGGAGAAAGACCTGGCAATCTGCTCCTGTAAAGATTACAGCCAAGAAAACCCTATGAGGTAGTTCTACTCTGTCATATGGGGTTACTATGAGCTGGAATTGACTCAACAACACCTAACAACAATATATATAAAGATATGTTAGTGTACGTTCTTCCACATATTCTCTGTACATATGTAAACATATATATGAGAGTACACACACATAAGAAATTTTTTTGGCAAAAAAGGGATCATACTATTCACAATGTTCTGTAACCTGCTTTTATCACTTAATACATTGTGATCAACTTTCCATCTCTAAGAATTCCCCCATGTTAATTTTAATAGCTCTATAATACTCAAGTTATATGGACATATCAAATTCATCAATGCTTGTAAGTTATTTCCAAGTGTTTTTTTTGCTATATATAAATGACAATCTTGTAACTGATTTTTTTACATATCCTGATTTATTTAGTTCCTTATACTGAATTTCCAGAATTAGAATGGCTGGATCAAAAATCATCACCTGTTTTTAAAGCTTGGAGTAAAAAATTGTCCTTCAAGAAACGTACACCTCTACCAACAGTAAAACAGCATCCATTTCCCCGCACTCTTACCGATACAGGGCGTTACAAATTTTTACAAATCTGATGTGCCAGGTGCTTGTGTATTGTATGTCATTTAATCCTTGTGACACATATGTCATTTAATTCTTATGATCTCCTGGGAGAAAGGTTTTATTACAGACAAGAAACTGAGACCTAGAGTAGTTAAATAACATGCCTACCCAAGGCCACATAACCAGAAAAGGCACAGCTGGAATTTGAAACTAGGTGTCTTTTAATCCAAATTCAGCACTCATTTATTTCACTACCCAATGTAGCTTCAAATTACATAATTAAACACTCTAGAACTGAAAATTAATATTAAATATCCCATCAGGACAGCCAGCCAGAATGTAATTTAGCATACTACTCTTTATGGGAAGTAATCAAACAATTCAGGAAAAATTAAAAATTTTTATATAACTGACTTACAATTCCATTTTGGGAACTCTACTACAAAAGAAATCATCTCAAAGGTGGACCAAGATTTACACAAAATAATGCTCACCATAGCATTATTAATAATCAAGAATCAAGAAACATGAGAATCAACCATCAATATCAAAGAATGGTTAAAAGTACAGGCACCTGATAACATATTATGAAACCATTAAACACAGTTATGTATCACTGAACTTCCACGACACATTCTGTGAGACAGGGCATTAGGTGATTTGGACGTTGTGTAAACATGCCTAAATCACAAGCAATAGCATTCACTGATTTTCCACCTTCATGTTGTTTCATAACCTTTTGTTTCACTTCCAAATCGATACTTCTTTGCCTCTTGCTGCTGCTACATCACTAGCACTGGTTTTGCTGCGTTTAGGAGCCATGATGCACTTCACGGTAACATTTTCAAAAGAAAATTAAACAGAATGATAACGCCACGACACTCGAGACGCGCAATACACAAGACTGAACGCTACTGCCTCCAAGTGGAAGCGTACGCTGTTATACAGGAAACTGTTTACTTGTAAGTAGGGCAAGTTTACATTAAAATAAAGACAAAAAAATAAATAAAATAACAATAAAAAGTACAGTAAATACATAAGCTAGCATCAAGAGGTGCTTGATATCCCATTTATACTATATATATATATATGTGTATGTGTGTGTGTGTGTGTGTGTGTGATTATATGTGCACAAAGCCCAGAGAGATGAACAGACATTATCTCTGGAAAGGGTGGAGTTGTGAGAGGTTCATATTTCCTTCTTTTGTATCCTCTTATATTATACGGGAGCCCTGGTGGTGCAGTGGTTAAAAGCTCGGCTGCTAACCAAAGGTCAACAGTTTGAATCCACTAGATGCTCCTTGGAAATCCTATAGGGCAGTTCTAGTCTGTCCTTTAGGGTCGCTATGAATCAGAATCCACTCAACGGCAATGGTTTTGGTTTTGGTTTCAAGTTTACATTATATGAACATTTTATTATTTTATATTTTCACACAAAGAATACGTGCCTTCTATGTTTGTTTGCCAACCATGCCCTCCGACCGCAAGGTATTATCATGAGCACCCCTACGCCAATTTTTTTATTTTTTCACGTTGCTGTAAAAAAATTAGCACAGCGCACTTACAAAAATACCTCACAGAGGGAGGGCATGGTTGGCAAGCAAAGTGGAAGGCGTGCATTATTTGTGTAAAAATATGGTAATGTATTACTTTTATAATAAGCAAACCCAATAAAGAAACAAAAATGATCTCAAATATTTAGACCCGAGAGCTAGGATAAAAGATGTGATGGGTAGAAATAAACCTTTAAATATATTTGAGGTTTTAGGGAAGAAAGAAGTTAGAAGATGTGTTTGACACTGTGAAAAACACATGAGCTTTCAATCTTCAAAGATTACAAAATATTTGAAACTTGGTTTCTATCTGTAAAATGAAGTAACAGATACCTAGGAGGAATAGGAATAATACATGAAATGACCTAACCCAAAGCCTGTCTCATAAAAAAAAATCCATTGTTGTTGAGTTGATTCCGACTCATAGCAATCCTGTAGGACAAAGTAGAACTGCCCCATAGGGTTTCCAAGGAGCAGCTGGTGGATTCGAGCTGCTGACAGTTTGGTTAGCAGCCATAGCTCTTAACCACTGCACCACCAGGGCTCCTGTCTCATAATGAAAAAACAAAACCAAACCCGTCGAGTGGATTCTAACTCATCTGTCTCGTAACAGGTGCTAAATAATTGGTTCCTGTTATCATTTGTTTACGTATTTTAGAACATGGCTCCCAAACCTGGCTACACATCAGAATCACCTGGGGAACTTCTTAAAACCACGGATTCCCCTAGGGACCACCCCACTTCCAGGAATCTATATTTTTTAAAAGCTTCCCAGGTTATTCTGATGCAGCCAGCTCAGCACTGGTCTGTGGACCACTGTTAGGAACTAGTGCTACAATACAGTCACTATGGAGAAAAAATTAATAGGATAAGGAGCACTTAATCCACCTGCCGCTGCTCGGGGGGAAGATGGGGTAGTCCACTTCCATAAAGACTACAGCCTAGGAAATGCTATGGGGCAGTTCTACTCTGTCCTAGAGGGTCATTATGAGCTGGAATCGACAGCAACAGGTTTTTGGTATATAAAAATAAGTAGTCTAAGAACTTATGAGGCAGGTTCTCTTATTATTCCCATTTTATATATGAGTAAACTGAGGAACGTAGTGGTTGAGGAACGTCAGGTCCTATGGTAAGTAGGTGGCAAAGCAGACTCACACTCATGTAGCCTGCCTGCAGAGTCAGTGCTCCCAACAACTCTGCTCACCTGCTTCTAGGAATACAGGAACCACCACCATCAAAAGCATAATGTAACCAATAGAACCCACCACAAGGGATGGAAACAAAACCAAAGGCTGCAAACTAAAGAACCGCACTGACAACTTTATAAAATATAAAAAGAGACCATACACATCTGTTCCACTAATTACAGAGCCTTCTCTGTTAACTTCCTTACCGTGTGAAGAAAAGCAGGAAACGCTTTCACAGGAACACTTTTCTGGAAAGATCTAGCCTGAAAAAGGAGACAAAAGGAAACTGGTTTGATATATAATGCTTCTGGAAATACACACCCTCCCTTTGAAAGTGAACACAAAGTAACAACAGCAATTTAACACCACCACTTAGGGGCCCTGTCAAAAGCAGGAAAATGCCTCTCATCTCCTGCTGATTAAGATTAATTTCCTAGGCCTAAGGGGCTCAGGATAACGTAGCTACTATGTTAAGAGTCCCATTTTTTCTTACAGATATTTTCCAATTGCCTTGTAACGTGTTCTAATAACTTTGACCCTCCAGCTCTGTTAAAAAAAAAACGAACCTGTTGTCGAGTTGATTGTCACTCATCCAGCTCTGTGGTACAGGGTAGATGAAGAAACCGAAACCAAACCAAACTTGTTGTCATCTAGTCAATTCTGATTTATAACGACCCTGTATGACGGAGTAGAACGGCCCCACAGTGTTTCGTAGGCTGTAATCCTTACGGGAGCAGATCGACATGTCTTTTCTCCCTTGGAGCGGCTGGTGGTCTCAAACTGTCGACCTTTTAGTTAGCAGCTGAGTGCTTAACCAGGGCTCCTTCTCCCTACCCTAGATTCTCATTATCTCCTGTTCAGGTGAATATAAGATCCTCCTAACTGGTCTTCCTATCTCTGTGTTCCCCAACCTTCAATTCATTTTCCACAGCTAGCCAAATTCATGTTCTTAAGTCAGAGTTTCATTTTTACTTTAATTTACTGGTAGATCAAGTCTAAACTATTCATCCTGGAATTCAAACTTCATCTCTCCAACTTAACTCCCCACTGCCCTGGGGCATGACTCCCTGACCCATTCAGGCTGATGACCATCATCCTGCACTCACCAAACCCACTGTTATCTCATATCTTTGTTTATGGTGTCCTTCATCCAAACTTGCAGCTAAATTTAACCATAAGCCTTTTATGTGAATGACTCACAAATCTACCTTCAGTTTGGATCTCCTTTCAAAGTCACAATCCTGCATTCTTCAATAGTTCATCTTCCTAAATGTCCTCTAATCATCTCAAATTCAGTTATGTCCAGCAGATCATCTAAAGTCTACTGATCAGTACCCAATATACTATTGCTTTTTTTACTGTAGTCTTTGAATGGCACCATCATCACCTATACTTGAACTCTGCGCGGCCTTCGACTTTCCCCTTTCCTGATCCTGCCACAATCCAATCAGTTGTCCAGTCTAGTTGATTCTATTATACGTATTTGTATATATATGTGTGTGTATAATCCACCCTCTCTAAATCAGATACTTTTTTCCTCTCTCCTAAACAAATCTTCTAACTGATCTCCCAATCCCCATCTCCCTCACCTCTTTCAAATACTGCTAGTAGAGTTTTCTAGAGTGCAACGACTTCACTTGATGATGCAGACCAGCACTTACTATCTACCGGGCAGTACTGTAAGTCCATTATATATGTAAACTCATTTATCCAGACAACAAGCATTTGAGTTAGGTATTAATATGATCCTCTTTTACAGATGAGAAAACTGAGGAACAGAGAGATTAAGATCATGTGATTAGTTAACTGGCAGAGCTTGGATTATATACTTGGGCATCTGGTTCCAGAGCTTGTACTCTCATCCACCATACTCCACTGCCTCACAAAAGTCTTCTAAGTATCATACTAAAAAAACCAAACCTGTTGCCATTGAGTCGATTCTGACTCACAGTGACCCTACAGGACATAGCAGAACTGCCCCACAGGATTTCCAAGGCTGTAATCTTCACAGAAGCAGACTGCCATATGTTTTTCCCCAGAAACAGCTGGTAGATTTGAACCACTGATCTTTCAGTTAGCAGCCGAGTGCTTTAACCACTGCACCACCGGGGTTCCTTAAAGCTCCATAGACTATCTTCAATCCACCCTTCCAAACCTATCTTCCAGAACCATATTTCACATATCGTATAAAGGAGTGGGCAGTTCTACTCTGTCCTATAGGATCACTATGAGTCGGAATCGACTCGATGGCAATGGGTTTGATTTTGTTTGTTTATTTTTTTAATAAAGGAGTAGTTTTCAAATCTAGCATCTAGCTGTTTGTAAAAATCAAGCTTTCTGTAAATACAGATTCCTGGCCCCTTCCCAGGTTTACTGTATCAATCGTCAGGGAGTGAGGCCTGGGAATTAGGATTTCTCAGGCACTTACATGTCCATCAAATGGGACTACTCAAGTTCCCACAAAGGTCCAGGGCTTTGTTCTCAGATCTTACCCCAAACTCTACCAGTTTTAAGTAATTTCTCATCTGAACTTCCACAGACTTTATTTATAACTACTATGGCACAGAATTTTGCTCAATTTTTCAGGAAATTCAAGAGACGGGTAAGATAGAGTCTTTGTTACTTGGGAAGCCAGCACAACTTGACCAAGGCAAAGTCATAGAAGCTTCACAGACACATCCAAACTCCCTGAGGGACTGAGTTACTTGGCTGAGGGCTGGGGGTGATGGTCTCGGGGACATCTAGCTCAAATGGCATAACACAGTCTATAAGGAAAATGTTCTACATCATACTTTGATGAGTAGTGGCTAGGATCTTAAAAGCTTGTGAGTGGCCATCTAAGATATATCTACTGGTCTCACCCCCTCTGGAGCAAGGGAGAATGAAGAAAATTAAAGACAAAAGGGAAAGATTAGTCCAAAGGACTAAGGGAACACAACTACCACAGCGTCCACCAGACTGAGTCAGCCCAACCAGATGGTGTCCAGCTACCATCACTGACTGCTCTGACAGGGATCACAATGGATGGTCCCATACAGAGCTGGAGAAAAATGTAAAACAAAATTCTAACTCACAAAAAAAGATCAGACTTACTGGTCTGAGGAAGACTGGAGATACCCTGAGAGTATGGCCCCCAGATACCCTTTTAACTCAGTACTGAAGTCACTCCTGAGGTTCACCCTTCAGCCTAAGATCAGACAGGCCCATGAAACAAACAATAATACACGTAGCTCAACCATGTATATGACACTAAACGGGCACACCAGCCCAGGGGCAAGGATGAGAAGGCAGGAGAGGCCAGGAAAGCTGGATGAATGGAAATGGGGAACCCAAGGTCAAGAAGGGGAGAATGTTGATACATCATGGGGTTGGCAACCAATGTCACAAAACAATATGTGTATTGTTTAATGAGAAACTAATTTGTTCTGTAAACCTTCACCTAAAGCACAATAAAAAATAAAGTAAAAAAAAAAAGTCTTTGCTCTCAAGGAACTTACAAACTGATTACTTATTTAATACTCTACAAATATTCACTGAGTGCGGATAATGTACCAGACACTCTAGATGCTGAGGAACACAGCACAGAACAAAGCAAAGTCTACTTACACTCTACTGGGAGTTGGAAGGGAAATAGGCAATAAACAAATAACCAAACTTTTAATATGTCGGGTACTAAAAAGTGCTAAGCCGGGCAAAGAGACACAGTGATGGGAAAGGACGATGTTACTTTAAATAAAGTGGCCAGAAAAGGTCTTTCTAATAAGGTGACTTTTGAGCATAACTATGGGGGAGTAGAGGGAGCCTTCCATGCATAAAAACAGCAAGAACAGCAGGCAAAGAAACAGAAACTTTCCACCAAGTCTTCAGAAGCCACTGAAAACAACAAGGAATGGTTCAAGGAGAACCAGGAAGGAACAGCACCATGGAAATAAAGAACACAGGAAGTTTCAAGAAAGAGGGGAAAAGTCAACAGTCTTAAACTGCAAGCCGAAAACAAGGTTTGAGAATAGATGAAGAACTAACTCTTGAGGAACATCTAAAGTGAGATGCAAGAGAAATCGGGAAGCAGTTCAGGAGCTAAAGTCCGAGAATCAAAAAAGAAAACATTAGAATGTTTCAAGAAGAAAAAGGAGTCAATGGTGTCAAAAAACAAGAAAAATTAATGAGAGTCTTAAATGTTCAGAGTTGTAAATGTTCATTAAATTGGGCAACAAGATTATTTATTCGTGATTATTACTAGAGTGACCAGGAAAGAGGCCAAATTACAGCACAATGAGCAGTGGCTTGGCGGTAAGTGCCTTGAGGTGATAATGACTGGGACCACCTATTCAAAAGGTCTTATCAGGAAGGGCAAAGAAAAAAGAAGAGTCCACAGGCTGCTTTAATGTCAGAAGGCAACAAATCAGAAGACAAAAAGGGCAAGCGACCAGAGAGGCAAACTGAAAACACCGGCTGGGGACTGCTGAGGAAGCAAGGCCCTGGAAGAGGAAGGAGAGGTCTCACCTTGGCAAGGCAGAAAGACACTGCCCTTGGCGAGGCAAAGGAATGACCAGGGGACAGAGCAGAGTGGGGCCTAAGTGAGAAAGCTCAGGCTTCATTTACTCAATAAAGGGCACACTCATCTGCTAAGAGGGAGGGAAGGGTGATGAGTCAAAGAACTTGGAAAAAAAAAAAGAATGGAAATTTTCTAATAGTCCCTGAGATAAATCTATTGGGAATTCAATGAGAGATAAGTGAAGGCTGTCAAGTAAGGAATACCACAACCATGACTCTACAAATGATCACCTCCTAAATGATTTGGAGAAAAGAGGCTACTTACATGCTTTAGGTGCAAATGTGCCTGGCTGGCAATGTCATATATGACATCTCTCACATTTTTATCTTGGTTCTTCCGTAGAAAATCTTCTTGTGAAACACCATGCTATGTAGGAAAATGTACATTATATTAGAAATCTAAAAGTACACTTAAAACTAATTTCACTCAAAAAACAGATGATAGAATAGTACATACAGTATAATGCCAATTTTGTGTTTTAAAAAAATGTGTGTGTGTGTGTGTGTGTGTGTGTGTGTGTGTGTGTGTGGACAGACAGACACACCTGGAATAATATGCAACAAGATGTTAACAATGACTGCAGGTAGAACAAAAATACACGAAAACAAAGAAACAAAAAATTTAAAAGACAATAATGATCTCATTCTGAGCACACACAGAAAACATCTGAGTTCTCATAAACAAAATGAGATTCTGTTTGTATTTAATGGATTCCCTCCTCCATAAGAAAGTAAAATAAAGAACAAGCTAACGTGAATATTAGGAAAAATTTCTATAATTGCTTGGAAAGGAGCAAGGCACATGAAGCTACACCAAATGAGGTTCTCTGGACCTCCTTTCTCAAAGCTCTGCCACAGACCTAAAAGGACTAAAAGATAAAATTCTGATTTGATAACTTGGGAGCAAAAAAAGGAAGACCATTTGCTGTAAACAATTAGCATCAGTTTCAAAAAAGTTACTTGAATGAACTAGCAAAGAACCAAGAGATAATTTTCTTCACTGTATTCCTAAGGTAAGTTATTAGAAGGTACAAATTACAGCCTTACCAGCATAAAAATATCCATGGGAAGGAACACCTTTCTTCTGCTACCATGATAGGGAGCTGCTCTCAAGCAAGTGACAATGCCTTGTGCTTTTCCAATGTGACTTGCGGCATGATCTGCATGAAGATCCTTTACACCTGTGATTTTGGAAATTAAATAACAGGACTGCTCTACTCTTTTTAAAGGCATAACGAATCCACAGAAACAGAATTGAGAAATCACGTTTTTGTAACATGTAAAAGTAGGTGGTCCTTCTAGTTTTATATCTTAAAAACAGCATTTATGAGAGAAACACTGGGCACAAGGACAAGCTGGTCATTTATCACTAACAGGTTTTGGAACCTCAACTTTTAAATAAGAGTCTTCCTCAGACTATAGTACTCTAAGAACACATTTGGAATTTTAATCAAGTATTATGGAAAAACCAGTACAAGTCTTCCATTTCTTCTCCTCAGTGCAATTTCCACATGACCTCATTTTAAGTATATGCTTAACAAGTAAACATTCTGCTCTTTGCTCCCTCCTTTCACTGTGATGGCAAACATGCCACTAGGTGTGCAGGCAGAACAGGCCTGGGAAACCCAACAGGGACTTGTACCATTCTTTTAGGGTGACACGAAGATATGTAACCTTCCAAAGAGAAGGCACTGTCCTTGGCCCAAATAATTTCCTCATTACAGTAAGACTTCACTAACTCAGAACAAAGTTGAGGGAAAGCGCCATCTAAAGAAAAAAGGAAAAAAAAAAACCTTACAAAAAACCTTTAGAAATGCAATTTTATTTGTTCTTCTTTATTTATTATTATTTTTTTACACGGGGAAGATTAGTGGCAGATAGGAAAGGAGGAGTCAGTTTACTGGCCTTCCAAATTTTAGGAGACACTGTAGTTAAAAAAGTAAGATCACCTGCAATCACCAGATTTTTAATTACAGCATTCTCATAAGGTAGTAAAGTACTTTTATAAGTACTTGAGTATTCTGATTAGTCTTTACTCCACAGGATGATATATATTCCCTTTCTCTGCATTCCTGATTGTGCAAGAAGAAACAAAACAAAACTGTTTCTTCATAGATGGTGCAAAGAAAAATTTCAGTGCTAAACTGGTTAGATTATCAAATTATGAAAAAGTGAAATCTGAAAGGTGTTTTCTTTGGAAAGAGAAGTATAAAATAAGAAAACTTACCCAATATTTCTAGTGTTAAATAAAGAAGAGAGCTCTGCGTGTTTTCAGCATAAGTTTCCAGTTCCTGGATATTACGATATGCTTTGTCATCCAAATTTTTTTCCTACAGTCCAAAAAAAATGCAAATAAAGTCTGAATTGTCAATATTTTTTAAAGAAATTTTTTTGCCCTAAAGCACTGATTAATGATGAATAAAAATATTATTCAATATTACTCAATACATACTGTTTAGTACAGCATAGGATTAAAATGTTAAAGTTCCACACATCCTTGTGGGTGTGAAGTAGTATATCACTGTGGTTTCATTTTGCATTTCCCTGATGACTAATGATGATGGACATCTTTTCATGTGCATTCTGACCATCTGTGTATTTTCTTCAGAGAAACATCTATTCAGATGCTTTATCCATTTTTTAATTGGGTTAGTTGTCCTTTTATTATTAAGCTACAAGCTATTTGTTTTTTTATTTTAGACACAAATCCCTTATCAGATATATGATTTGCAAATACTTTCTCCCATTCTGTGCGCTGCCTTTGCACTTTCTTGATAATGTCTTTTGAAGCATTAAAATTTTTTAATTTTGAAACTCCAATTAATCTGTTTTTTTCCTTTGTCACTTATGCTTTTAACGTCATGTCTAAGAATCCATTGCCAAAGCCAGTATCATGACGACTTACCCCTATGTTTTCTTCTAAGAGTGTTATATTTTAAGCTGTTATATTTAGGTCTTTGATTCATTTTGAGTTAATTTTTTGTGTATGTGTAAGTAGGAGTCCAATGTCATTCTTTTGCACTTGGATATGTAGTTGTCCCACCACCATTTATTGAAAAGACTATTCTTTCTCCATTGAATTGTTTTGGCACCCTGTCAAAAATCAATGGACCATAAATGTAAGGTTTATTTCTGGATTCTTCAATCATAGTCCATTTATCTCTATGTTTATATGCTAATGCCACACTGTCTTGATTCCTGTTCCTTCACAGCAAGCTTTGAAATCAGGAAGTATGAGTCTTCCCACTTTATTCTTCTTTTTCAAGATTGTTTTGGCTATTCTGAGTTCCTTGAGTTTCCACATGAATTTTAGGACCAGTTTGTCAATTTCTATAAAGAAGCCAACTGGGATTCTGATACGGATTGTACCAAACTTATAGATCAATTTGGAGAATATTGCTATTTAATAATATTAAGTCTTCCAAAAATGAACATAGGATGTCTTTCAATGTATTTAGATCTTCTTTAATTTCTTTTAACAGTGTTTTATACTTTTTAGATATAAGTTTTATACTTTTTTGGTTAAATTTATTACTAAGTATTTTAATCATTTTTATGTTACTTTAAATGGAATTGTTCATTTAACTTCATTTTCTGATGCTTCATTGCAAGTGTACAAAAACACAACTAATTTTTGTATACTGGGTATTTCAGGATACTAAGAAATCAGTATTATTAAATATCATAATCATATTGTGGTTATATTTTTTAGAAGTTCTTATGTTTTCAAGATACATATGTATTTACAGATCAAACATGTCTGGGATTTACTTTGAACAATCCAGTGGCAGTTAGAGGGAACAGAGTACAGATGAAACAAGATCAGACATGTGTTAATAACTATGAAAGCTGGACAACAGATACATGAAAGTATATTATTCTCTCTACTTTTGTATATGTCTGAAATTTCCCATTAAAATAAAACAAAACATAGAGTGTGTATGTGCTCATGCGCACCTCTGCCTGGTGCCTATCTCTGCCTGACAGTGTATGGGGGGTAGGGGAGGCTGCAGTTGATGGCACACAGGGACAGAGTATAGATAAAACGGCATAGTTCTTTAAGTTTCCTTCCTCCAAAATATTACTACACATATGAAAACATTTCCTTCCTAAAGAACTAGCTTAAGGATTAAAAAGGAAGAAAAAAAATTAAGATGAGTAACTTCAACTTACTCTTTCATCAATGATTTTCATAAGCCATCTTTTGGTCAGATTATGCCTTTTGATAGCCTTAAAAAAAACAAGAGTGTTGTAAGTCTTTATAAAAGTACTAGAAATAACTTCTGCAGACCTGAATAAAATAAACAAACCAAATACAAAACTAGGTATGAGAACACTTGTAATAACTGTCACAGATAGTCGGCTGTGTTAAAGAAACACCAGGAGAAAAGGAAATGTTCCTAGAAAACGTTTCCAGATAAAAATATCTCCAGTACTTTATCCATTAATCGGTTTTTTTTTTTTTTCCTGTACTTTTAGGAATTTAATGATTCCACTTCCAAAACAACTATTATAAACCTTTTATATTATGTGATGCAGCCTGGCTTCTATGATCTCACTTACATACAAACTTCCTTCCATAAGATAGAGATTTTCTTTAGAAAAAACGAATTGCTTCTCTCAAAATGAAAAGAATAACTAAAATCCAAAGGAAAACAATCTGCAGGGTAGATTATTATCTTGACAAGAAACCTCAGTAGGAAAGAGCAACACTTAGTGCCCAGATCTTGGTCTCTAATACCATTCCCCTCTAAAGAAACAGGGCTCCTTAGGAAAATGGATGATTCCAGAGCTGGGCAGGGTAGGTACAAGATAATTCTATTGATACACGTCTTATTGTGTCAGAAAACAAAAGTACTTAAAATAATGATGGTGGGCATGTTATAAGGATACAAAACTGGGATAATTTGAACACCAAAATAATGAAGTATAGTAATGTATTATAAACTATTGGAAAAAAAAGTAATTCATGAGTCCATACTGAAAATAAATTAATAAATACTGAATCAGACAAGAATCACTAATGAATCCCAAATCTAGGGGGAATTTTTGATGAGGAGGAGGGTATCTGCATGGTCTTAAAGTATCTCTCACAGATGGTTTACTAGTTGTAAAAGAGAAAAAGACAGTAATTATACAGTGGAAAAAATAGACAACATCCTGACTGGGTCATCAAAATTAACAATGCCAATAAAGGGCAGATGGACAAAGTGTGCCTCCAGATGTGATACCCTGAGAAGGAAAGACATAAAATAAAAGTACTTTTTATACAGTGGGCACCTACGCAACATTCCAGCCAAGAATCCATAACCTGAATCTAATCACGAGAAAACATCAGACAAATCCCAAATGAGGAAAGTTCTATTTAAAAAAAATGTCAGGAGAGAGAGGTTATATTCTTCAAAAATACCAATGTCATAAAAGATAAAGAAAGGATGTGGAAATTTTCCAGATTAAAGAAAGCTAAAGAGACATGACAACTAAATGCAATACCTGACCCTAGATTGGATATGTACTAAAGGGAAAAATGCTATAAAGTACATTGTTGGTCAATTGACAAAACTGGAATATGAACAATTAGATAAAGGTGTTGTATCAAAATTAAATTTACTGAAGTTATTAACTCTTCTGCCATTTAGGGGTAGAGGGCCATGATAAATGTAACTTACATTCAAGTGATTTAGAAAAAAAATTATGAGTGTATATGTAACATGGTTAAGCATGATGGTTAAGTGCTTGGTTGCTAACTAAAAGGTTGGCGGTTCAAACTCACCAGCCGCTGGGCAGAGAAAGATGTGGCAGTCAGCTTCCACAACAATTATAGCCCTGGAAACCCCCAGGGGCAGTTCTACTCTGTCCTATAGGATCACTATGAGTTGGAATCAACTCGATGGCAACGGGAATGGGTTAGGACGTGTATGTGCGATGAGGTAAAATGTTAAGAATAGGTTAATCTGGATAAAGGGTACACAGGTTTTTTGTACTATTTTTACTTTTGCAACCTTTCTGAAAGTTTGAAATTATTTCCAAATAAGTTTTAAAAATATTTTTTTGCCAACACTAAGTATATATATTTTCTCAATAAATAAATATGGTAGTGAAACAAAGTCTTAGGGATATGCTATACTTTAATGGAGACTCTAAGATGTCACTGATACTAAAATTTAAAAGCTAACATATTCATTAATATGTATGTACGTGATAAAGGGTTTACGTATAAGGAAGTGAGCCCAATTTGCCTGGCAGGAACCTAACAGAAGCTAAAAAGGAGTCATTTCTGTAGTGTTTTCAGCACTACTATTCCATAGCAGGAAACCCCATAACCCTCTCTCCCAAAGGCTGAAAGAACCACATCTAGTTTACATCAGTCTGGGATTCCTCCGTCATTAGAGAGTCCTGCTCTTGTTCTGAGGGGTGTGTGTGGCAGGTGAGGGGTTGGGGAGAGATGAGGAGATGAGGTTTGATCTTTGTAGTCACACCACTAAACAAAATTCCTGGCACATAAAAGTATTTAATATATCTGACCAATGAACAGTCAGACTCCTGTTTTCCTTTACTCAAGGCTGAAGCTGTAACAGCTACAGGTCCTCTGACCACAAAATATAGCTCTTCTGTCTGATTCTAAAGGAAATCAGAGCTGAAGGTAATATACATATACATATACACACACACACATACATAGGTATATATTGTATCTATAAATTTTTTTTTTAAGCTGAAGATCTACTGAATAAAACAAAACAAATGTCAACAACTTTGGAAAATGCAGCCAAACAGAAAACCTTGGTTATAAAATAAATTCAAGCTATAACTTATATTCATACACAGAGGAATGGAGAACCTTAAGTATAATCTATAAGAAATTATAGATACTCAACTGTACTGTACCCTACAGGTACCAATGAAACAGTGTAGCAGAAAACTACTCTCCGGACAACACACTGTTCCCCCCATTCAACATTCTAAACAACTGACATTCTTCAAAGAATTAATGAAAAGTTTTACTGGAGTTGCAGTAAGCGTATGCTCCAGCAGAATGGGGAGGGAGACAGAAAACACACAGAGAGAACAACTGCTCTCAACACTACCTGCTTCTTTTAAATATTCATTCATATTAACCTTCAACGCCAGTGATATCAGAAAGCTAGCCAACATTAATGATAAAATTTAAGCAGCTATTAAAATTAGACAAAATGACAACCCGAAATTGGCACACATGGAAACATTCTAGAATTCAAACATGTCTTCTGTTTATTCAAGAGACGCTAAGGCAAGTTAAATGTGTTAAAGGGATCTCTGATCTTCCACTGTATTTCCTGACAAAGGCAAGACCCTTCAATGCAAGTCTTAGCGTAACCCCCCACTGTAGCCACAGGGTTGTGTGTAAAATAATAAATAGAAAGGGCTTCTGGAGTTTAGAGAACCTTTTCTCTATACTGAATCACCTAGATTGAGCTTCTTGAAGTGATATGAATAGAGGTAAACAACTAATCTCATACTCACAGCTTCGCATCCATTTTCTCTTCTCAGTCCCTAGTGTGGGAGGACTGGCTCTCCATTCTTAATGGGGCTCTGGAAGTCGAACTTGGGCCAGACGCCTAAGCTGCCTCTGCTGGTGCCCGGGCCTGAGAAGAGGTATACCTCTGTCTGGTCTGTCATGGCTCCTGTTACAGAACCATCTTGTGGCACTCACCATATTACAGTGGGGACAAGATTAGTGACGAAAGGCACCAAATTCCCTTCCTCCAATTATAGCTTAGCACATTTCTAAACCATGCATGGCTGTTTATGAATGAAGGGCCCATAGAGCTGTTTTAATGTAAAACCATTTCCTACACATGTCCAGCTATACAAATAATGCTCTGGCCCATTGGTTTCCATTCTCTAATACCTAAAACTCATCAACAAGTAGGCAATTCTATCAAACTAGACAAGGTAGTTTTGGATTTGTGTTTAGACAACAGTGACAGCAAGTCTCCCTTCACAAAAGATGAATACTCTGCACTACAAGCCCAGAGTCTGGATCAAACACTGGCAGAAGGAGCTGCTGGGCAGACAGAACAGAAAATTTACTTGCTGCTATGGACTGAATTCTGTCCCCTAAAAATATGTGTCAACTTGGCTAGGCCATGTTTCCCAGTATTGTGTGGTTGTCCCCCATTTTGTGATTTGATATAATCTTCCTATGTGTTGTAAATCCTAATCGTTGCCTGTGGTTAATGAGGCAAGATTAGGTTATGTTAAAGAGGATTAGGGCAGGATACAACACTCTTACTCAGATCAGAGGCCTGATCCAATGTCAGGGGAGTTTCCTTGGGGTGTGGCCTGCATCATCTTTTATCTTACTCAAAAAAACCCGAGTTGATTCCAACTCACAGAGACCCAATAGGACAGAGCAGAACTCTCCCACAGGGTTTCCAAGAAATGGCTGGTGGATTCGAACTTTTTGGTTTGCAGCTGAGCTCTTAACCACTACGCCACTAGGGCCCCACCTTTTATCTTACAAGGGATAAAAGGAAAGAGAAGCAATCAGAGAGGAGGGGGACCTTATGCCACCAAGAAAGAAGTGCCAGGAGTGAAGTGCATCCTTTGGATTCGGGATCCCTGTGCTGAGAAGCTCCTAGACAAGGGGAAGATTGATGACAAGGACCTTCCCCCAGAATGAACAGAGAGAGAGAAAGCCTTCCCCTAGAGCTGTCACCCTGAATTTAAACTTCTATCCTCCTAAACTGTGAGAGAATAAACTTCTGTTGTTAAAGCTATCCACCTGTGGTACTTCTGTTATAGCAGCACTAGGTAACTAAGACACTTGCCATTACAACAAAATCTTCAGGGTTTAAATTCTGCAACCAAATGTGTGGAAAACAAATAAGAAATCTGTAATATAAAGAGACCATGTTCCCCCCTTTTTCCTTTAGTAAAGAAATACTCCAAAGATCTGTGCAAATTATCAGTGGATGATTTAACATTCCCTCATCAAAACTAACATAGATCTGAACATTACGTAAGTCTGAAGATAACTTCAAGTTAGATTCCCCATCACCACTATCCAAATTATACCCATCTAAAAGTATGCAATTAAAAGCAGCAATTTTTTGTTTACCTTCCACAGTTCAATGGCCACAGGCTGCTGCGGTGGATTGTCACAGTATATGTCTTCCACAGTGTTTTTCCAAAACTGCATTCGCATCAGCCCAATCGTTTTCTCAGAGACTGAGTCCTTAACCTGTAAACAGAGTTTAAAAACTGTAACAAACGCAGTCTCCTGCTGCGACCCTGCACAGTCATATAATTTCAGCCAAAACCTGCTTAATTCTATATATTTTCTTTAATTTTTCCTTTCAATTATAACAGTTAAATTGTTGCCATTATTAGTTTCCCAAGTAAAAGCTGCAAATTACTTGGTGCTGAATTAAAAATATTTTCAAGGTTTACATTCAAAAGTAGGAGGGATTCTTCTAGAAATAAGTTGCAAGAAAAAAACAGAGAGAGGGAGGGAAAATGTTTGGATTAAAAGAGACTTAAGAGATATATTAACCAGTTGCAACATACGGACTTTATTTGACTTCTGATTTGAACAAACTGTTAAAAAAAGAAAGAGAGAAAGAGACATACATATGATTGGGAAATCTGAATACCAGATGTTTAACAATATTAAGAAATACTGTTAAATTTTTGATGTATGATAATGGTATTGTGGTTATGTTTTTAAAAAGTGAGTTACCTGTTAAGAATACAGACTGGAATATTTACAAATGGACAAATATATCAGACATTTACTTCAAAACAACCTGGGAATGGCAGTGGGTTGGGTAGAGAGAGACAAAACAAAATTGGCCGTTGAATTAGTAACAGCTGAAGCTGAATGATGGTTACATGGGTTCATTATATTACCCTCTCTACTTTTGTATATGCTTGAAATTTTCCATAATAAAAAGACTTTTAAAAAATACGTCTATGAGAAGAAAAATAATCCTTGACAGATACTGATGGTAAAAGTATTTTCAAGTCTGAAGATAAAACAAGAAACAGAACCAGGGGTTCTTTAGAGCAAACAGGGCTGGAACTAGCATTTACCAACTGTCCTCAAGTTAATAATTATACTATGGTTATGTAAGAGAATATCCTTATTCTATGAAACATACACTAAAGTTTTTAGGGATAAGAGTTATGCTGTAAGCAAGTTACCCAAAATGGTTTTGTTTTGTTTTTTTTTTTGAAGAAAAAGTGTGTGTGTGTACATATATACAGACAGAATGGTAAAGCAACAGAGCAAAAGATTAACAGAGGAAATCAGGGTATTCTTTGTACTATTCTTACATTTCCACATGTGAAATTATTCTCAGATAAAAAGTTCCGAAAAATACTGTCTTGGTGCTAGGTAAGTCTCTTAGCAATACTTGGTGTTCAGATCACAACAGTGTCCGTTCTATTCTCAATAAAGCAGCAAGAGTAACACTTTTAAAACACAACCAAGAAATGGTGTCCTTCTCGTTCAAAACCCTCCAATGGCTTCCCATTTTGCTCAGAGTAAAAGTAAAAGCCAAAGTGATTGCAATGGTCTCCAAGACCTTACCTATCTGACCCACTGCTACCTCTAATCCCCTACCATCTCCCTCTGCTGCAGCCATACTGGCTTTTTTCTGTTTTTTGAACACACCAGGCACACTTGAACCTCAAAGCCTTTGTACTTGCTGTTCCTTCTGCCCAGAAAACTCTTCACCCACATTATCTACATGGCTCACCACCTCACTTCCTTCAAATCTTTGCTCAAATCCCACCTCCTCAGTGAGGTGCTTCGTGATCCCTCTCTTTAAAATAGGAACCCCACTACACCCCGCCCTCCCTCGCTCTCTCATCCTCCTTTATATCCTATTTTTCTCCACAGCACTTTCTCTGTCTGATATAGTACACAGGTACGTGTTTATTTGCTCCTTGAGTACAGGGATTTTGTATGTCTTATTCAATGCTATATCCTCAGGACCTGAAACAGTACCCAACATATTTTAGAAGCTCAATCAATACTTGTTGAATGAATGAACAAACAGGACTGTGTGTGCACAGAAGTGGCAAGATGCTCCTACAAAGTGACTGACAATTCCAGGGGAAACCTGAGGCTCTAGTTACTCAAAATAGAATTTTAATCATTTTAAAGTTAGAAAGGAAGACTGCTGTGGTGACTCTTTATAGCTAAATTGTGATTAATTTAATATGCTAATATGTAGTTTATACCTGAAAAAGGGTAAGATAAAAAACAAACATGGGCCCATGACTTCCAAGAATACACCAGAGAAAAAACAACCAGAGTCTATTACTCACTGTAGATTTACAGTATCTAATTTCAGTCTGAATGCTATACTCATAGCCTTTTTATTCATTCCTTGTTCACTTCCTATTATATTCACCAGAGAAGGTGCGCCCAAACTTTCCATTTTCTTCAAGACTCCAAACTCTCCCCAGCTCCCTCACTCCCAACAAGCAACCTCTCCATTTACTTTACAGAGAAGACCAAGGCCATTCTACTTAAACTCCCTCACTTTATTCCATTTATTTGTGTCTGCACACTTTCCTCCCATTCTAAGAAAAAGAAGCATCCCTCCTCCTTTTGTAATTCTTAGACAAAAGTGAGTGAGTATCAAGAGAATGAAAAGAGAAGCCACAGACTTGGAGAAAATATCTGCAAAACACATATCTGATAAAGGATCTCTACCTAAGTATACAAAGCACTCTTGGAACTCAGCAATAAAAAAACAAACAACCCAGTTAAAAAGTGGGCAAAAGATCTGAACAGACATCTTACCAAAGAAGGTATACAGATGGCAAGTAAGCATATGAAAAGATGCTCAATATCATATGTTTGGACTCATTGCGACTGGAGGAACCTCGGAATCTACTGCTCTGAGATAATCTTTAAATCCTGAACCGAAACCATCCCCTGAAGTCATAAACAACAGTTTAGCTCAATTAATAAAGAATGTTTGCCTCGAGCACTGCACTTTTTAAAAGAATTATCTATATGAGATCAAACTGACAACAGTAAGTCTAAAGCATAGATGAGAAGTTTAAGGGATAGTGAGTCTAAGTTAAGGTTCCCTGGTGGTGCAGTGGTTAAGCGCTCGGCTGCTAAACAAAAGGTCGGGGGTTCGAGCCCACCAGCCACTCCACAGGAGAAAGTTTTGGCAGTCCGCTTCTGTAAAGATTTATAGCCTTGGAAATCTTAATAAGGCAGTTCTACCCTGTCTTATAAGGGTCACTATGAGTCGGAATCGACTTGACAGCAAAGGGTTTGGTTTTTGGGTTTCAGGCTAAGTTAACGATGGTGAAATAATGTGGGAAGAGACAGCAAGAATGGTGATACAATGTGAAGACTGTAACCAATGTCACTGAATTGTACGTGTAGAAAATGCTGAATGGGTGTATGTTTTGCTGTGTCTATTTTCACCAAAAATAAAAACAAATTTCAAAATACATATATCCTGTCATGAGGAAACTGCAAATTAAAACAATGAGATACCACCACACTTTTGTCCGAAACACAGACAACACCATATGCTGGAGAGGATGTGAACAGGAACCTTCATTCACTGCTGGTGGACATGTAAAACGGTACACTTACTTTGGAAGACAGTTTGGCATTTCTTACACAGATAAACATGGTTTCATCATATGATCTAGCAATGGTATTCCTAGGTATTTACTCAAATGAGTTGAAAACATGTCCACACAACAGCAGCTCGATTAATAACTGCCAAAACTTGGAAGCAACCAAGATGTTCTTCAATAGGTGAATGGATAAACTGTGGTATATCCATACAATGGCGTATTATACAGTGATAAAAAGAAATGAGCTATCAAGTCATGAAAAGACACAGAGGCATCTTAAATGCACACTGCAAGTGAAAGAAGCCAATCTGAAAATGTTACATATAGTATGATTCCAACTATATGACATTCTAGAAAAGGCAAAACGATAGAGACAGTAAAAATATCAATGGTTGCCAAGGTTTTGGGGGGAAGAGAGGGTGGAAAGAAGGGTGAATAGGTGGAATACAGGAGATTTTTAGGACAGTGAAACTATTGTATGATATTGTTATGGTGGCTACATGACATTACGTATATGACACAAATCATACAACACAAAGAGTGAACCCTGATGTAAACTATGGACTTTAGTTAATAATAACCAACATTGGTTCATCAACTGTAACAAATATAACACATTAAAGCAAGATGTTAATAATAGGGGAAATTGTAGGCAGGGGGAGAAGGAATATTTGGTACCTGCCCTTTCTGCTTACTTTTTCTGTAAACCTAAAACTGCACTAAAAAAATAGTCTTAACATTTTTAAAAAGTGAGTTAACATGATCTAAGACCTGAGTCTGCTATAACTGCTTCCATTCCCTACTTCATGTTAAAGCTTAAACCTCAATTTAAAAAGTGTTTTGAAAAATTTGCTATATAAACAGGAATTATGTAATTGTTTGAGAGGCTAAGCAGTAATACTCTGATTAACCTATTCAATTAACAGACAAATGTGCAATGTTAACTGCAGTTTTATAATTTTAATTCTTAGAAGAAATAAAAATTTCCAGAAATATTAAATTCATCAGCTAGCTTTATTTTTAGAGTTTAATCTTAAAGCCTGAAGAGTTAGCAGGAGAAATAAATCACCATCAGAGATCTTAAAAATATCTAACATATAAATTATATTTCTTTACTGTTCAGCATTAAACCCATAATATATCACTTTGTAAATAACAGGTAAGGTATTTTAATACCAGCCTGAGCCAGTTCCACATTGAAGGCCCTCAATGCAAACGCAGCACTTCGGGATTCTGCAGGGAGCAGCAGGGAGCATAAATAACCTTCATAATCTCGTTTCCTATAATAAATAGGCAAAAAAACATTGTTACTCTTCACTTTCCAAACTGCACACAAAAATACTGACCAAAATTAACTGAAAACAAGGCTTCCATTTAGAATAGGAGTGAAATTTCTTATATTTTATACCTATTTCTCTACAATTACGAAAAATGTATCTGCCCCAATGCCCGACCAGTTAAAAAAATGACATACTCAATCTCTATGATTTTAACTTATGTAGTACTTGTAATTTTAATTGTTTCAGAATCATTTTGGTTTTAGTAAGAATTCAAATGAGCTATATAAGTAGACAAACTCAAAAGAAAGGCCTGGTGATGTACTTCCAAAAATCAGCCAACGAAAACAATAGTCCGATCTGCAACCAGTCATGGGGATGGCACAGGACCAGGTAGCATTTTGTTCTGTTGTGCACGGGGTAGCCATGAGTCAGTGATGACTCAGTGGTAACTAACACCAACAACAGGAGTAGAAATCAAACTAAGAAAATACTTTAAGCAGGTATTGGTGTTAACTCATTGTGGTGCGATGGACTGCTTTTGTGTGGCCATGGTCTTCTCACTCCCATCCAAGTGACTGGGCAGGACTGTGCGATAAGGTAATTGTGGCCCACCAAAAGGATTGGTCAGTTTTGTCATCCTGCTGGGCTTGAAATGAACCACCCCAGAGGTGGGAAAGAGAGGATCCCACCACCACCAAGGAAGAACAGCCAGGAGTGGAAAGCTGGACCCGGGATCCCTGTGCTGAGAAGCTCCTGGAACCAAGAGATCAAGAGAGCAAGCAAGCTGTAACCCTGAAAACAGCGAAAAGTGGTGGCAGAGAAGCCATGGCAGGAAAGACTGCACAGTGGGCTTCCCGGCCCAACGAGTGAGAAAGCTGAGTGCCTTCGAGTACAGCTGGGGAGAGGCTGTCCTGATGGAAGACCTGTATCCTGAGTGTTTCTGAACCTGAATTGTAACCTGTTACTTCCCTACTAAACCCCATAATCACGAATATTGTCTGTGAGTTCTGTGTGGCCATTGCAATGAATTATCGAACTTGGCAGAGAAGTAGAGTGTCATGGGAGGGATGTCTAGTGTGAGAATTGGTAAAGATGGCAGAGAGAGGAGGCATGTCTGACCTCCGTCTCATAGGAATCAGCCTTGGGCTGTTGATCTTGATTCTCCTTCCCCCTTGTGAAGAGAGAGGAGGTCAGGTCAGACACCACCTCTGTGCCATTTTTACACTCATGGTTTTTAATAGATAGATACATAAATAAATAGATAAAGATACGGAAGCCCATAGAGGGTGTGTGTGTGTGTGTGTGTGTGTGTGTGTGTGTGTGTGAGAGTGTGTGTGTGTGTGTGTGTGTACCTATGTTTCCTAGCATCAACAGCTGTGAGGGCCTAGAAGCAATGAGCCCCCAGTAATAGTGAACACATCTAATACCTAGATCTTGGTTTCTAAATACCATTCTCCACTAAAGGAAACTAGAGCTCCTTGGATGAATGACCTGACTAGAGCTGGGGCAGGGAAAATATAAGATAAGCCTGAAACATCTTCTTGAGCAGAAAAATAAAGATGTGCCCAAAGAATACAGGAAACGTCTCAAAAGGACACAAAAGCTGGCTTGGTAGAGCTCTTACTGGTCAAGTCTGGGACAATTTGAGCATCAAAAAAAAAAAAAAAAGGGTAACAGATTGGGACTTCTTGAGCCTATACCAATGTAAATAAATTCATGAATAAACAAATAAATGGAAAGAGAAGAAAAAGCGCTACAACAAGGAAAATGCCAACTAATACATTTAGAAGACATGAGGAAAATTTTTTAAAAAACCACCATTTGATAACTATCATAATAATAGTTGATTCAGGCAAAAATCATCAATGAATGACTGAGTGAATGTTAAATGGGTAAAAATTTGATGGAAACAGGATATTTACATGGTATTGAAGTATCTCCGCACAAAATACATATTACTCATTAATTAACATTCTTATTCATTAAATATACAGAAGAGAAACCTGGAAGACACATTTTCAACCAAGTAATAAAAAGTTAACATCACTGTAATATGACATATCAATGTCATGTGCTTTCTAATATGAAATACAAATAAAAGCACAGAATCAATTCTGTGACATTCCTACCCAACATGCATAAATCATGAGAAAACACCAGGTAAAGTCAAATTGAGGGAAATTCCACAAAGTAACTGGCTGGTTCTCTTTAAAAATGTCAAAGGTCATGAGAGACAAGGAAAGACGGAGGAACTGTTTCAGATTAGAGAAGACTAAAAAGACGTGACAATTAAATGCAGCACATGATCCTGGACACAAAAAAGATGTAATTGAATAACCAGGGAAATTTGAAAAGGATCTGTGAATTACATGGAAATACTGGATCAGTTTCAATTTCCTGATTTTGATGGTTGCCCTATCGTTTTATGGAAGAGAATCCTTGTACTTAGGAAATACACACGTAAAGCATTAAGGGGGTAATGGGACATCATGTCTGCAACTTATTCTCAAATGGATCAGAAATGTTAACAATGAGGAGGTCTGGGTAAAGAGTCTATGGGAGCCCTGTGTACCACTTCTATAACTTTTATGTAAATTTGAAATTATTTCAAAATAAAAAGTTAAAAAATGTAGACTTTACTATACTCATTCTAGGAAGGATGATGTAAGTATAAAGTACTTTCCAGACTGCCTATCTACAAGGCCACTTTAACTGTAATACAGTGAAAGCTTATTATAACATTATGTCCTATAAAATAGTATTCAACATAAAATGGGTCCCATCTGAAACTCATTCTGTGGAGTTTAAACCCATTGCCGCGACCCTATAGGACAGAGTAGAACTGCCCCATGGGGTTTCCAAGGAGCGGCTGGTGGATTCGAACGGCTGACCTTTTCGTTAGCAGCTGAGCTCTTAACCACTGAAAATGAGACTATTCCCACTTTACAACTGATTCATATTTTGTTACGTGCCCCTTTTATCCATTCCCTTGGCAATTCCCCACAATTTTCACATAAACTACTATAGTGAATAGTAACCCTGCTGTCTCAAAACAGCTCTACTAAAAAGATCTCACCAGAAAATATACATAGATATAAATACAGTATTTAAAATTTTTATCTTACTATAAAAACTCTCTGAGCTTCGAAAGTGTTTAAAAAAGTATTTGGAAGGTAATATGAAACTGTAAGGAAATACTCAATGGAAATCAAAACTACAATCTGAACCTCCATTACTCAACTAGTTACTGACAGAAATGACGCCAATTACTCATGTCTGTTTTCTCATTTGCATGATGAGGCTTGATAATCTACCTGTTCCATACCTCCTAAAAATAACGAATATGTGAAGTACTGCAAGCTTCTTACAGGAAAACGAAAAATGAATGAAAGACATTAATAGTAGAACTTCGGCAACCTTTGTTGCTGGAAATGAAATAATCTACACATTTGGATGCTCTATTAACAACTTTTAAAATTTTTTGTTGGAAATTTTTCTAAACACCATTATCCTCTTCTCTACCTTAAACAGGATATACTGATTATTTAAGCACTTCTTCACTCAGGATCACTATTACAAATATCAATTTTTGGATCGTGGGTATACAGGGATGTTCTAAGTGACTAACTGAGGTCCAGTTACCTGAGAGCTGTTCCAGAGAGTGAGAAATGCCATAATATGGATATATGTAACTCATGGCTTTATACAGCAACAGGGCCAGTCACCTTTGATTTATTTATTCATCCTAATGTGTATTCAGTGCCTGCTATGTGCCACAAAACATACTAGACCTTGAAGATAGGTGCAAACTTCAATCCAGCAAGGAAAGACAGACATATAAGAAACAAGTGTATCAGATGTTAGGATTGCTGTGCCATCAGACACAAAGGAAAAGTAGGCCCCTACTGAGGCTGGAGAACACTGAACGGCTCCCAGACAGTATTACCTCCTCACCTCCTTACTACAGCCTTAAACCCAAGGCCTGAGGTGGCTCTCCTAGCTTACCCTTCACAAAACCAAACTCCAAGTAGCCTATGTAAATAAGGTTAGATTTTCCCCAGGAACCAAACCTCACTGGTTTCCTAGAAGAGCCCAGGCTGGCTAACCAGAAGCTCTGGCCTGGAATTTTGTCTTCTATCTGGAGGCCTTGCATAAGATGCATGTCCAAAACAACCCTGCATAAACATTTCAGAAGCCAAATCTTGCAAAGATTGTTGATGAATAATTAGAAGCTTGAAGTTCTAGATCTTCCTTTCAAGTTTCATTTTGTTTTTATTTTTAAAACTGCTTACCAAGCATCTGTTATGTGCTAGGGACTCTGCTAAGCACTTTCATATACATCATCGCACTTAATCCTCACAACCTGGTTATAAAGCAGGAGCAGAAACGTACAAATGGGGAAAAAACTGAATCTTAAAGTAATTTTCCCAAGTGATAGAGTTAGGATTAAGAAACTCAGATCAGGTCTGTATGCAAAATCCAGGCTTTTTTAAATCACTAGAGTCAACAGCCCCCAATCCAAACAAATATCAACATGGACAGGTTAAATATCTGGCCATTTGTAAATTAAATATTTGAGAATGGGTACCAGTTAAGAAAAAGAAAGAATTGTGTATTTATATGTTTGTAAACAGACTATCACTGGAAGACTACATAAGAGAGTTATAACAAGTGAAAAGGGTGGTATACTCTGGTAACTTGAATTTTGTATCACTAAAAAATAACTTTGAAATAGAGAAACATGAATACAACCTTTTGACAGTTTTGACTTTTACAATTCTTAATGCCCTGATTTCCCCTGGAGCCCCGGTTACGCAGTGGTTAAGCATTTGGCTGCTAACCAGAAGGTAGGCAGTTTGAATCCAGCAGCCCCTCCCTGGAAACCCTATGGGGCAGTTCTACTCTGTTCTATAGGGTCACCATGAGTTGGAATCCACTCGTCGGCAACAGGTTTGGTTTGGTTTTTTGATTTCCACTATTGCTATCTTGTTTCCCCGATAAATAATCAACAAATAAATAAGGTGGGAGAGGAGCACTACATACAACCCAGTGATTAAAAACAAAACACCGCAAATACATGGGAATTTTGTTGTCTTACGGTACTTTTCGCTAAAATTGAATTCAAAAAACTGAATTTACTTGTCCCATCCAATCTAAGGTAGTTTACTCATTCTAGTACTTCTCACAAGCCCTTGAGACTGCATACTTTGCGATTTTGTACTTCTCTTATGATTCAAGGAGCCCTGGTTGCCTAGTGGTTAAGAGATCGGGTGCTAGCCAAAAGGTCGGCAGTTCAGCCGCTCCTAGGAAACCCTATAAGGAAGTTCTTCTCTGTCCTACAGGGTCGCTATGAGTCGTAATCGACTCACGGCAACGGGTTTGGTTTTGGTTTTTATGATTCAAGGGCAGCAGAAGGGCATAGGGGCTTCGAACTGGTCTTTGCAATCAGACCTGGATTCCAAGACAGGCCCCTGCCGCATGAGCCAAGTGACCTGACTACTCCACCTTAACTCCACAATTGATTACATGCGACTCTCATGTGTCAGGCGTCCCGGTTACATCAAGCCCCTAACTAAATGGAGTTTCTAGAGAGTCTCAGGCAAATACCCTAATCTCTCCAAACCTTAATTTCCTAGTCTATTAAATGAGATAACAATTTATATTGTACTCACTGTGACTTTATTATGTCACGCATTGTTCTAAAGGCTTTAATTCTTACAATGCCAAGTAGCAAGACTACATTTGTTTTTCACAATTCGTAATGAGAATAAAATAAATTACTTGTAAACTACCTTGGCACATAGAACTCAATTACTGTTGTCATTAAAAATTAATTATTGACCGATGTGCAAAAAACCTATACATGCAAAAACGTTTAATTAGGTTAAGATTAAGGTTCAGGCAAAGTTACAAGCGTTGGCAAAAAAATGTTGCCACAATTTTGTTACCGCTGCGGATGTTCTTGCTGCTTCATCCCCTCCACACACCCGCACCGGAGCCAACCAGTCTGAGCACCCACAGGAGCGCCAGGACGGCGCTAGTCCTTTTGCCCTGCGAACCTCGGGGCCGAGCCGCGCCCACCCGGCGGCCGCGAGGAGGACGGATTTGCTCACCGCAGCAACTCCATGCAGTAGAGGTCAGTGCCCGATGCCCCCCGCCCGCTAGCCGCGGCTAGGCTCCGCCCGGACACTGCGAGCTCCGGCAACCGCCGCGAACGCGCGCACAGATCCTGGGGCGGCCGGCGGCGGCACAGACTCGGGACGTGGGGCCGCAGCGAACCCCATGCCGAGCCCAGAGTGGAGGCCGCCATGACGCCGGCGCCACGGGCCCTTCGACCTCGCGCCGTCGGCCCCCCGGCCCCGCCCCGCCTCGGCCACGCCCCCGGCCGGTCCGCCCGCCCACCTTTCTGCAGTAGGAAGCCGGCCTCTGGACACCTCTCCGAGGAGAGGTAGGTGTCGCTGTGGTCCTCTTCATCTGGGCCGCCGCCGCGCTCTTCGGCCTTGCTGGTTCCAGGAGAGCCCTGCCTAGTGTTGCCGATCCTGCTTGGCCTTTCGTCTTCTCACATCCATCCCAGGTCGACCCCGGGAGCATCTATGAGAAGTGATGAGTGTCCGCTCCTGAAAGAAGTAACTGCCAAAATTACGTCCCGCCACCCTGCGTCCCAAAACCTCCAATAAGAGCGGAACACCTTACAGCGTTTCTCAACAGGGGCGCTCTTGGCATTTGGGCGCAACTGAGCTGTGGGATCGCTATGAGTCGGAATTAACTCGACGGCAGCGGGTTTGATTTTTTCTTTTTTGGAGCTGCTCTGGGAGGGGCTGTCCCATACGATGACGGAAGTTTGGCATGCCTGGATGCCCAGGCATCGTGACCACCGAACGCCCCCACACATTCCCAGACGCCTCTGACACGTAGCGCTGGTCGCGAACCACTGGCCGCCTTGCACGTCCAGGAGACAACACAAAGATACTTGAGAGGAACCAAGCCAATATCAACTACTACCTGTAGCTCACCTGTTTGTTGATTGACTCTCCCACTTCACTTCTTAAGGGCATAAGGGATATTTTGTTCCCTGCGTTATCCCCGATGCCGGTCCCTGGCACAGTGCAGAAACTGCATAAATGTCTGATCCTTACAGATAACATTTGTTACGCTACTAAGTGCCAAGCGTTTACATTATTTATATTCCCTATAACAACTTTTTAAAGTAGATATTCTTACTTTGACTTACAAATAAAGAAACTGAGGTTTGTTAGGTGACTTGTCTATAGTCACAGAAATGGTTAAGTGGGAGGGTGAGAGTCAAACTGGTCTGTATTACTCCAAAGTCCCATTTTGGGTGGGAAAGGAAGGAGACCAGGCCACATGCTAGAACCTCCTCTTCTGAGCCTCCATGGTCCATCATGGAACTCCAAAGAGTGGGAAAGTTCTAAATTTAAACCTGATGTTCTAGGTCCTTAGGAAGATGTATTTATCAAGGTAGGATAGTGGATATTTTATTTGACAGTTTGCTAGCTTGAGTTATAACTTTTAAATATGTATTCACCTGTTATAGACCTTCTTTGATACTCTTGCCTTCAGGCCCCTCAAATATCAGAGTTGGGTCTGATTGCCACTGTCACATCCAAGCCCGCAACTGCCTACACCTGTAGCCCGGTGACACTCACCTGCCTCTAGACTTGCCCAAACTTCGTGTTGCAGCCAGACTGGTTCTTTCTAAACTGTTGTTTCTAAAATGTAAGATGATGACCTTTTTTGCACATAGGGTAAAGTTGTTTCATGATGTAGCCTCTCTTTACCCTTCAGCCTCAATCCAGCCATTTACAGTCATGGCTTAATGTTAGCTTAATGTTTCTGCTTAACTCTTGAGGGCATATTGTGTTGTCTGGACTTAAGAACCCCGCTTTGGTTTCACTCCCTGAAGCAGCCCCTCTTCAGCCTATGCGGTAGCAGAAGCCCAGTTCGTTCTGCATAATGGACTCTTCCTGCTTGGCTTCTGTCCGTTAGCTCTGACAAGCACACACTGGTGTTTTCAGTACTATGGTTTAAACTATTCCATAAAAAAATCACTCATCCATATCTCAACTTCTGATCTCCTGCCCAGCTGGACTTTTCCATCTGGACACCTTGCCATTACTTCAAAGTTCATTGTCTAAAAACCAAATCAAACCAGCACATTTTCTTAATCTCTTTATTTATCTGGACAGTGTACCCCTTCTTTCATTCGACCAGTGGAAACACTTTCATGTCATCTTGACCTTTTCTTTCTTCCATATGGAACACAAAGAGCCCTGGTGGCACAGTGGTTAAAGTGCTCGGCTGCTAACTGAAAGGTTGGTGATTCGAACCCGCCAGCCGATCCATGGGAGAAAGATGTGGCAGTCTGCTTCCATAAAGATTTACAGCCTTGGACTAAACGGGCAGCTTCTATCCGGAGGTGAGATGGGAAGGCAGAGACGGTTAGGAGCTGGTTGAATGGACATGGGGAATCGGGGGAAAGGAGGAGTGTGCTGTCACAGTATGGGGAGGAGAGCAATTAGGGTCACATAACAATGTATGTATAAATTTTTATATGGAGAAAAAAATAAAAATAAAAAAAGATTACAGCCTTAAAAAAAAAGAAAAAGATTTACAGCCTTGGAAACCTTATGAGGCAGTTCTCCTCTGTCCTATAGGGTCGCTATGAGTTGGAATTGACTCAATGGCAATGGGTTTGAGGTTTTTTTTTGTTTTATATTTAACATATATCTAACTACTCGGTTTCTATGAATTCTTTATACTTCACATACTTACACCCATGGCAGCATTAAAAAAAAAAGCTACACCCACTGCCGTCGAGTTGATTCCAACTCATAATGACCCTATAGGACAAAGTAGAACTGACCCATAGCGGGTGCAAAACTATCTGGATTCAGATTCTGGCTCCACCTCCTACCATCTTTGTGACCTTGGATGAGTTATTCATTCACCTTTCTAGTGCCTCAGTTTCCTCACTTCTAAAGTGGAGATAATAACAGAACCTACCTCATACAGTTGTTGCTAGAATTAAATGAGTTAATACATCTAAAGCACCTAGGATAGTGCCTGGCCCATAATAAGCACTCAACAAAGTCAACTATGTAGAGAAAACGGTATGAAGGACTTTTGAAATGGATCAAAAAGTTTGCTGCATGTCTTCAATGGAAAGCCAGACATTGTCCAGGTTATCTGAGTCTATGGAATCTCTGTGCCTTTCATTGTCTTTGAGCTGTTTTGCAAATCTGTAAGTTGTAGAATATTGATAGTAATGCAATGATTCTTGTCAATAAATATCCAAATCGCATCTGATGTTGATTCAGTGGATTATTGTCCTGTGTATATTGAACAGTTTTGCCAGTTTCTAATCTATTAAGCGGATTTATTTACATGTTCCCAACTGCCTATATGCATGTGGTATTTTGCAGACTCCTTTGAAGTGGCTGTATCATCTTACTTGTTCTGTCGTTAATAAGTTGAATAAAAATTTTGACGTGTATTCCTTTTATATCTGTATGAGTTACGATTATACGCTTTTTAAAAAATTAATTTTTAACTGCTATCATCAGCCATTATTAACTTCTCTTCCATTTTAGTTCCATTACCATTACGCAGCTTCACATCTTTCTGATGAAATTGTTTGTTTCCTCATTAGTCTCCAGGCCTTACTACTCCAATCAATCTATATTGAAAAATACAGCCATTTCTCGTTATCACAAATATAACTTGAAGGTGTTATGAGTATATAGATCTATAAACATGAAGGCAGAATTCCAACCAATGTCAACAGAGAAAAAAGTAAGAATTTTTAAATTTATGCTATAGACAACACATTGTCACCAACTGACATTTATTGAATATCTATTATTGGCCAATTTTAGAATTAATTTTTGCTTATACAAACTGTTACTGCTCTCTTTTAGAATTGTTAGCACATGAAAATGTTATTAGACTAATTTCCTAGTATCAAAGCCAGTTTTTTAAAAATACGTATACAGTTATTCAATCAGGGTTATAATCAAGACAGAGGCTCTGTGCTTCAGTAAAAAATTAATGTTAACATAAAGGACCACAGAAGCATGATTTGTTAAATTAGCCTTTAGCTGTGGCATTTGTTCAGTGTGTCCTTTTTGAGTGTATGATTCTCTCCATACTGGTTGTGACTGGTCGATCTGTATAGTTGTGGATGAAACATAATAACATTTCTTTGCAAGCTTTAGCCCAATAAAGACTGTCCTTTGGTTGATTGCTACATTGTAAAGAGTTATGCCTTATTTTTTCAGATTATTGCTCTACCTCTTATTTTGTCCACAGACTTTGTCAAGAGCCAAGCTAACCTGTCTGCTTTTACATGACACCTGTGTATCTAAGAAGTCTGAGAGGGTCAACACTAGACCACTGCTGGTTAAACCTCCCTGGGCAAGACTCCTGCACACACCTTCTCCTCCTTCTCCAAGGCCATCAGGATTCAACTGACTTCTCCTGGTTTCACTTTTCTTATGACATGTTTTTCATAATCCAAAAAAAAAAAAAAAAAAAACCCTTATTAAAGGAAATCTGGAAACTATAGGCAAACATAAAAAAAAAAAAAAAAAAATCATGCTAAAGCCTACCATTCAAACCATCACTATTCACATTTTGGTATTTCCTTCCATCTTTTCTTCTATGCAGAGGTGTTTTGTTTGTTTCTACATATTGCCTTTACAGTATTATTTGATTCATCTAACATTGTCATAAACATTTTCTTATGCTATTATTTCATTCACTTTTTAAATCAACAGGTTCTTGCTGAGAGTCTACTATGTGTTTACACTGCACAAGCTGCTAGGATGCAGAGTGAGCAAAAGACAAGGCCCATGTCCTCAAAGAACTTAGTCTTTAGTGGTAGATAAAGACGTTAAACAAACTAAACTCAACACAAATAAAAACACAACAACAAAATGTCATAACTGCTATTGTATTAAGGATACAGGTTCAGCTGCCCAAATAAAGGCCCAAAATAATGAGACTTAAGCAAGATAGAAGGAGCCCTGGGGGCACGGTGGTTAAGCGCTCAGCTGCTAACAGAAAGGTTGGCGGTTCAAAGCCACCAGTGGCTCTGTGGGAGAAAGATGTGGTAGTCTGCTTCTGTAAAGATTATAGCCTTGGAAACACTATGGGGCAGTTCTACCCAGTCCTATAGGGTCGCTATGAGTCAAAATTGATTCGATGGCAACGGGTTTGGTTTGGTTTGGGTTTAACTAAGATAGATACTCGTTTCTCTCTCAAGTAGCAGTTTAGGTGTAACCAATCTAGGATTACATGGAGATTTCAAGGTGCCAGGGACCCA